TTTGAATATTTCACGTGACTAAAATTAAAAGAAAATGTTCGATGATATTCAATTACTATTTTCCAGAAATAGATAATTATTATCAATTTTCTTAAATTCAATAAATAATATATAAGTATTAATAATCAACAACTCTTTCCATAGATCATTCGGACCAATTTTCAAGCTAAAGCAAAAACGTATTTTTCAAAGAAACTGTATTAAGAAATAATACAAAAGGCAATAAGAAAAAGGAAGGAGCACACAAAGTTACACTTAGTAGAAAGGGAAAGATAAGAAAACTAGAAAGATCCTAGAAGAAAACTTGACCCTCAAAGAAATTTCGTAGAAATTTTTAAAAAAGTGGGGATTTGAATTTACCCTGTCTTGCAGATCCTCTAATATAACACAAGAGTCACAAAACAAGGTAAACAAACTACACATGGGGAAATATCTAACTTGATGTATCACGTGTAAGCCAATAGAAGACAAATATACTACATTTAAATCGGACGAAACACAAGCAATCAGGAATTATCCCAAGGTTTTTAGAAAAAAAGCCGAAGTCATTTTGAGAAATAGAGAACAAGAATATATATAATATTAGAAGAGCAAAAGTCTGCAAGGCAGTCAAAAGAAAGCTTCTCTTCAAGCAAGAAAAAGGTAGCAAGTATCAAAGTGATGCTTAAAGAAGAGGAACCACAAAAGCTTATTGGTATAATGGAGAGTATAGAAGGAAGCAGGGAGCAAATAGATGTTCTTGTTTCTAGAATCACAGGAATAAGTACCAAAGTGATCACAGTAACTAGGAATTGGCGAAGAATAATTAAGAAGATAATTATTGAAGAGGGTAGAGAGGTTCTGATTACAGCGCTTGAAGAGCTCGAACAGGAACTATTAATTGCTAAGTGGGCTAAAGAAAGTGAAACCAAGGCTAGAGAAAATGAGAATGGAATAGTAGAAGCTAATTCTCAGCCTAAAGAAGTTTTACAAGATTTAACTGAGTTAGTAGATCAAAAAATAACTATTAAATCAGCTAAGTTTAACGTATTCCATGATAAATCACCTGAAGTAGAGTGAGTTGAAAACAATACAAAATCAATAATTTCTAAAGAAATTGAGCACCTGAATAGGAAAATCGCAGCAAGTAGCAAGATAGCAGTTGATATCCTATTTACAGATAGAGAGGTTAAAGAAGTTTATGAAATATCTAATGCTCAGAAAGCTAGTACAGTAGAGAGTATGCCTAATTCAAATAGTGAAATCAATTCTGGTAGTACAGGATCCACAGAATTTGAGCTTATAGACCTAGCCTTGCATACAAAAGACATAATTCTGGAGGACGCAGAAGATGTTCAACTCGGAACTTCACAAAAAGAAATTAACGATCCAAAGGAATATTGGAAAAAGCAACTAGAGTATGCAGTTGCAAAATATAAAGAACCACAAAGAACCTCTCTAGAAGATAGTCAGTGGGCACCCAATGAAAATACCTGCGAAAAAGCAGGAGAATACAAAGCAAAAATTTCTTCAATCTCACTTCCTAGGAAATCAAAAGAAGAACGAATCAAATTCGTAAAAGAAACTCTATATAGAAGTAGTCATATAAGTGAGATTGTTGAGTGCTTTGAAAATAGAAATAGTTGGGTGGTTATCATTTTTGATTGCCTCAAAGGTCTAAACATTTTGAGAGAGAAACTAAAAAAAAAGGAGATTGAATGGTATAATGTAATCTTCGACAACTATGAAACTACTAAGATTCCAGCAGACCCTTTCATAAAGACGCTGAAAGCAAAACTGGCGAATACAGAGAATAAGGCTTCTACTCCGAAAATGAACAAGCTACGGACTAAAGAAGAAAAATCAAAAACAGGGTTGGAGAAAGTAGTAGACAAAGAAAGGAAAGACACATATAAAGAAAATATAATCACAGTGTGGGATCTTCCAAAATGGGTGAAAAGAATCCACATCTTCGAATCTACACGATATCTCGGACAAATTAGTCATATTGAGATAATTAGAGAAACAAGTGGAAAAACACGTGCAGAAATTGAGTTTGTACCAAATGCTATCTTCGTAGAGGACCTCAGAGACATATGGTGCATTCCTCTTTTGAGCAACTGTTTGGTGAGAGCCACACCAGGGAGAAATGACACAAAGGTACTTAAATCTCATAACAAATTTTCTAGAAAGATCCTAGATCTACCAGAAGATGCAAATGAGGTATTACTGTGGAGACAGGTTAAACGAACAGGAGCCAAGGCTTTGCATATATTTAAAAATGCAAATAACAATAATAAAAGAAGCACTACAATCTACTTTGCAAATGAAACGGACTTGCTAGAAAGCCCTAAGTTCTCAGTTTACTACTATGATAACAAACTAAAATAGGCAACAATCAGAAGTAATAGCTCCGAAGAGGAGAAATTCCTAGTAGCAAACAAGGCTCTAGCAGTTATACCACAAGAGTTAAGTCTTAAAAATTTAGGTAAAAGGAAGGAATCAGAGCAAGACCCAGGGGAAGGATGCTCGAAATATGCATATCAAGAACATGAGTACAGGAAAATAGAGTCAACAACACAAAAAGATTACGAAGAATATAGTAGCTGTAAATATAAGGAAGAAAATAAATCTGTGGAAAATTGGCAAACAGATTTTGATGATAGTAGCTCTGAGTTTTCTGAAAGTAGTAATTCAAATAGAGCAAGCAGTTACAAAAACAGAACTAGGAAGAGGCAGCAGTCTCGTAATTATGAGAGACCTCAAGGTAG